CCCCGTGCCTAGCTAATGGTAAAGCCAGGAAATATCAAAAGTCGCCTCCGTTACTGCTTTTTAGTTTTCCCTCGTTTCTTCCCTTTCCCCTTGTCGTACCACGCGTCGAAATCCTTATGTAATACTTCTTCTTCATAGTTTTCCTTCTCCTCTCTACTTCTTCTACTTTCTTTTTCCATCGGCTGATGTTGCTAATAATCCATTAATTTTTTTTTTTTGCCTTTATCATATCAGAGAAGATATTCATATATTGAATAGAATTTTGAAGATTTACTCCAATTGTTAAGAGGTATAGAAAAAGTATGGGCTGCTTTAAATATATTTAGCCGGGTAATAAAAGGAATTTTTTTCACGAGGAGAATCAGTTACTGTAACAAATTTCCTGGTTTCGCTTTCATTGTTCTTTCTGCTCGGTTTTCATCGAGTTAGCCGCGAGACCAGAAAGTAATATATTAAAGCACCCTTGATCTACAACGATACCGGGCAGCGGTTAACGCGGTTATCATCGGTAACACGATCGTTGAAATGATAAAAAATGTATCTAACTCGGGAGAACAAATGTAATCACTGCTTGTCACGAACACAATGCATTCAACAGGTTAGTGCTGTATATTAAAAAGAGTTTATTCGCATGCTTATAAATCCACCCCTTCCTCGTTCTGGAGGAAGATTTCTCTCGGCTGCATTTCGCCGAAAAAATTCTAACGAGAAAAAGCGAGAAAACAGATGGAGACGTACAATTTTATTTATCGTTGTTCTTAAAGTAAAAATGTTTACAAATTATTATTCTTATTAATTTTTGAGAGAATATTAAAATTAAGGTATTTCAAATCTTTGATAAAAATAGCAGCGAAATTCCTTGTGAATTTCGAATGGCAGAAATTAACAATACTTTATGTTCTAATATAATAATTTTATAAAGCAATAATTTTCAATATTGGTATAATAACTTTTTATAGTACATAATGCTCTTTTGTAATGCTCTTGTCAAAGATCACTCTCAAGGCTCAAGATCAGGCTCAAGTTTAGTAGAATAAATACTTGTACGAAACATTTAACAAATATTAATATTTACAAGGATTATTATTGCACATTCAAGAAATTATCCGAATTACGAATTAGTATGAACCAGAGAATTCTTTTAAAAAATTACTGATCCAAGTGAATATATGTTGCAGATCGTGAACGACTAAACTCGATGAATGGTCCATGATCGAACGTAAATCCGGGCCCTCCCTCCCCCCTCCCCCTTAATTGGAAACAATGGCTCGACGAGGATAGATTAGTGCGTTGAAAAGGCGTGCACAATCGTGGCACGCTTCTGCCGCGCGTAGAATTCACCCGAGGGAATCGTCGATATCGCGTGATTTAATTTGTTACAATTAGGGCAAAGGGTCCCTTAGGTGGGACAGCCAGAGTGCCCGGCCAAAAGAGCGAGAGAACGTGATAGACAGAAGGAATACGAGCCAGTTCACCGCGCCCTGCTATTAATATCAGTTAACGACCTGATATGATCGCTCGTCTATACTCGCAGACATGCTGCCATCGATAGGCTCGAGCCATAGGGGTCGAATCATATGCTCCAACCATGATTTCGACCACGATTCACACTGGCATCGATCCATTCAGTCACTTAGAGTTAGAATCCACCGTTAGGTTCCCCGTTGGATCATGGTTACCTGAAGAAGAATAAAAATACCTGGTCACTACGTGTTATTTATTAAACGTTTTAACGTTTGGTTCATTTTGATATAAGTTGTTAGAATCGATCTTCTGAATGTTTGAGAATTTGGCGGATCGAACAATCAAATTGAAAGGTTCGTCTTTCACGAATGGGAAATTATATAAATTAAAAGGTAAATATTTTTTTCTCAAGTTTCTCTACGACGAGTCTAATACAAAATCTATATTTCAGGCATAAGAATTGAGGGCTGGTTGTCAAATCCTATGAATATAGGAAAAACGGCGTGGTACGTACAGAACGACCGATAACAATAGACAGGGACCGTGGTCTATCTAGCAGGCATCCGGGCCAACGTCGAAACGAGGCTGGTGCCGCGCGCGGATTACCATAAGCATTCATATATGCAGCGGCGCATTATACTTGCATACCCGACATAAAGGTGGCCGTGTCGACGCTCGTATTGGACAGCAGCCGCAGGTATATGTATTGCACCGACTGGCTGGTCGGCCACTTACTTACGTGTACCGGACCGCCCTCACGAGTCGCTGGCACGCGAGCCTGATTGACTTGTAGATGAGGCGACACAGTCGATATACGCCAAGAGTTTACCGTCCGACTCTGAAACCCCCGTCATGGCTACCGATGCCCGTGCAATTCTGCCTCCCTCTCCCTTTGTCTATCCGTTTTCTCTGTGTTATTGCCACCGAACGACGGAGATCTGCGCAAGTATATACATCGATTATGTTTTACGACATTTCAAGGCTCGATATTTCGATTCGTGTCAATTTTCTTGCAATTACAGTGAAGATCGATCATTTGACTATTGGATTAGATTTAGAAAAATATACACGATCTATGTAATGTGGTAGAGTAACGTCTCGATTAGACGAGATCTTCTATGTCTTGAGGCCGGTCGGTGGTTACAGGATTTCTAAGTGGCCACGCACCCCCACGAGAAGTTGTTCTCGTTACTCTCTTTCACTCTCTCTCGTTGAACCTTCTCTTTCAACGTTGCAATTATAGTAAAGATTGATTATTTGACTCATTTGACTATTGGATTAGGTTTAGAAAAATATACACGATCTATGTAATGTGGGAGAGTAACGTCTCGATTAGACGAGATCTTCTATGTCTTGAG